GGGGGCGGGCGGGGGGGGTGGGGGGGGGGGGGGGGGGCGGGGGCGGGGGTGGGGCCGGGACCGGGGAGGGACCAGGCCCCGGCACCCCGAGCCCGGCCGGATCCCGAGGCCCGCGCCCCGCACCCCGCGCCGCCACCATGGGGGCCTGCCTGGGAGCCTGCTCCCTGCTGAGCTGCGTGAGTCCCAACCCCGGCGCCCCGCGCGCGCCGCCTGCTGCTGTGCGGCCCCGCACTTTTTTCTTACCTTCTTCCTCCAAATAGTTTGTTTTTCCTTCCTCCAAACTTGTCTTTCGGAGCAGGCACCCCGCCTCCTCGCCCGTCGGGCCCCTCTCTCACTCGGTGCCCCCATCCAGCTGCCCCCCACTCCCCCGATCCCGGGCCGGCGGCCGCCGGGGGCAGCTGGTGTCTGCGGCTCGGGTTACCGCGGAGCACGGGTGGGGCGCGCCGGGCGGGGTGGGGAGTGCCCGCGGCCGGCGCCCCTCCCGGGAACTGGGGAGACTGAGGCTCGGAGCCCCGGGTGGGGGGAGAGCTGCGACCTCCACCCGCGCCCGCGGTCCCACCTCGCCCAACTTGGGGTGGTCCTCGGAGGGCGTCTCTCCTCTCTCTCCCGGACGCTCTGACTCTTTGTGTGGCCTGCCTGGTCCCGGTCCCTCTCTGCTGCGTCCTCTTCTCTGTCCCTCTGGCAGTCTGCCCATCAGTCTGTCTGTCTTTGTCCGTCTGGCTCAGTTTGTCCATGTGTATTTGTTTGATACTTATCTCTGTCCGTTTGTTCGTACGACTGCCTTTGTCTGTCTGTCACCACTGGGCTGTCGCTGTCTGTCCCTACAGTTCGGTGTCTGTCCATCTATCTATCCGTGTCTCTGTGTCCTCGTCTCTTCCACGTTCAGTCTGGCTCACGTTAACTCCTGGGCACTTCCCCAGCAAGCGCAAGACCCTTCTTGCCTCTGGGTCCCAGAGCTGAGACGGGGGTGGGGTGGAGAGAAAACCTCCATCCGGTCTTTCTAAACCCCACTTGAATACGGTTGATGCGGTTTGCCACCGACCCCCTGGACCAAACTCGGGGTTGGGAGACCCAGGAATTGAGGGAGGTTCGGGTGTGTCTGGGAGAGTGCTGGGTCGCCTGGGTCCAGGACCTGGGGAGCCGCCAGCCTCTGTTTAGGGGCTGCAGCCAGCATAGGGGAGGGGCTCCAGCCAGACCCCGGCTGGGAGGCCCCTTCTCCTTTGCTTTTTCCCAGCCCCCTCTCTTTTCCCTCTTCCCCTCATTAAATCTGAGGTTCATTCAGGCAGCCCCCTCCCCCTCTGGCCGCACACAAAGAGGCGCAGAGAGGGAGAGTAGAGGGAGAGGGGGCTTCGGTGGCGGCTGCTGAATCTCAGGACTTCCTTTGTCTCTGATTGTGCGTGTGTTAGGAGGGGAACGTGGGGGTGCGAGCTGGGGATCTGGAGATTTACTTCCCAGCCATTTTTTGAAAATGAGATCAGCACAGGAAGGCTGTAGAGTGGGTCCCTGTACAATCTGGGCCTCCATTTCCCATCTGTGACTAGTGTATGTGTGTGTGTGTGTCCATTTCCTATCTGTGAAGAGTGTGTGTGTGTGTGTGTGTGTGTGAGAACAGGAGGAAGAATCAAGCTGGTGCCTGAAATTCCTCCCGGCCCAATGAATTCAAGTTTTGAGCTGGGTTTCTGCTCAAGAAGGCTTTGCTTCCTGGTGAAGGAGGTAGAGTTTTCTTTCTGGTTGTGCCTGGTGAGGGATGGGCCCTACTGGGCCTGGGGGTGGGGCATGTTGAGAGGAGACTTGCCAATCCCCTGTGTCTTGGTTTCCCCTTCTGTAAGTTGAGGATGATACAGTGCATCCTTCATAATGCTGTTGGGAAGTTTAAATGGGGTAAGGCAGTAAAGTGCCCAACACAGTTCCTGGCATATAGTGAATGCTCATTGTGGGAGCTATTGTTATCACTGAGGAAAGGTGGGTGGAGAATTCCACCGGGAGATAATGCAAAGCCAAGTGCTGGTCTCTGAGTCATAGAATCCTATAATGCTGAGACCAGACTGGCCTGCTCAAACCCTCAGGATACAGATTAGAAAACTGTGGCCCAGAGAGGTTAGCTGACTTGTCTAAGGTTGCACAGTGAAAGGATGGGGAATTGCACAGTCAGGATTCAAATCTGACCCCCTAGTCCAGGTTTCTGCCCACACCTTTCCTCCCTTCATCACAACCTGGTTGCCTGAGGGACAGGGCTGGCTCAGGGTAGACTTGGGAGGTAATTTAGTGAGTATCCAGTATCTGCAAGAGATCTGCCCCTCTCTTTAGCGTCCTTGCCTTGGGGTTTTGAGCACTGACATTTACTGAGCCAGGTGCCATGATGAACCTCTCACCCATGCCATCTCATTGTTTCTCCCCCTAGCCCTGTAAAATCGTTATCCCATTTCACAGGTAAGCATACCAACAATAGCCACCATTTACTGCATCCTTACTATAGGCCCAGCACTGTAGTGAGCACTTTAGGTATATGTATATCCTTTCATTTAATCCTCACAAACATCCTATGAGGCAGTTAATATTATTCACACAGATGAATAATATTAACTTCACAGATGAGGAAACTGGATCAGAGAGGGAAAGTGATTTCCCTACAGCCTCACAGTGCTAAGTGGTGCAGTTGGGCACTACTGGACACCAGTTATGTCCTGTTTTAGTGAAGAGTGGCCCTACAGGAATGAAGTTCTTTTTTTTTTTTTTTTAAAGATGGCCGGTAAGGGGATCTTAACCCTTGACTTGGTGTTGTCAGCACCACGGTCAGCCAGTGAGCTAACCGGCCATCCCCATATGGGATCTGAACCCGTGGCCTTAGTGTTATCAGCACTGCACTCTCCCAAGTGAGCCACAGGCCAGCCCAGGAATGAAGTTCTAATGGCAAGTTCCTAGGCATCTTTAATAGGAATGGTACATGGGTCGGTGGGGAAGATTTTGTACCTTCCCAGCTGTGACCCATCTGTCCATTGTGCCTCTCTTAGCATTTGTACTGTGCTGAAGGTGAGTCCTGCCTTAGGTGAGGAGATAAGATGGGCCCACAGAGAACGGGAGTCACCAGGCAAGTCAGCACATGATGACTTGGACAGTCAGCACGTATTTGTGGAGGGCCTGCTACATGCAAGGGAGTGTGAAAGGCCTTTGGGTCAGACTGATTGGACTGGCATCCTGGCATGGCCTCTTCTCATCTGTGTGTTGGTGAGGGTCACTTTGCCCCTCTCCTTGTCTGTAAAGTGGAGAAAACAATGGCACCTGCCCCTTAGCTTGTTGTGGGCAGGTGGGGACTGAATGGGACTGAGATGAGCACTTCAATGTATTTAGCAGCAGCCACTCCATAAACACCCCAGAGCAGTAAATTGCTCAGGACCACATGCAAGGAAGTGGCAAAGCCACTGAAACCCAGGGCTGGCCAACTGTGGAACCTGAGCTCTGAGCTACTTTACTTTCCTGTCCCAGGAGCACATTTTACAGATGAGGAAACTGAGTCCCGTGGAAGGGAGGGGAGACTGGCCTAAGGCCAGACTGCAGATTGGCGGCAGAGCCAGCACTAGGAGCTGCATTTTTGGCACCACTTGGGGGAAGTAAGTGTGACCTGAGTAGTTTTGGGTGGGCTTCTGCTCCTGTTGTTTGACTCGTCCTGGGGTGGCTCAGCCAGTCATGGAGCTGTTCATGAAGACTGCAAAATGCATTCTTGCTGGGGACAGATCTTTTTGTTTTTGTTTTTAAATTGTGACAGAATATATGTAACATAAAATTTACCATGTTAACTTTTTTTTTAGTCTTCAAGGAGCTTATAATTTATTTTAGGAAACTATGTATTAAAAATGGATATCTAACAAATACAACCTTAATACTATCAATCTCAAATGAATGGCATTTTCAAAAGTGTTACCGGGCACAGGTCCAGCTGCCTGTCCCCTTTCAAAAACAAACAACTCAAAAGTCAAATGTTGGTGAAAACAGAAGTCAGCTTTTTTTCAGGAATACTGGAGACCTGAGGAGATATGTTAGGCTAACCCATCTCTCCCATAAACCTGAGGAGAATGGCTAGACTAAATCCATCACAAAGATTTACTGAGGGGTTTTTAAAGAGGGGATTGAGGAAATGGAACAGGGGAAATGAAAAGCAGGAGGGAGGGAGAGGTGAGCCCTGTGCAAGGAGTCAGGTACAAGGTCTCACCAAGACTCTGTCTGGTTCCTTTTCCCATCTTTGCTGTTATCTTATGGTCTGGTAGTACATGTCTCCTGGCAAGTCTATAGCTTTAGGCTGGCTGGAAGACGCCTTTACATTCATGTAAATAATGTCATCTTACCCCATAACCAAGGTCCAAAATATCAAATGACCATGGGGAAAGAGGGAACTCAGAGAAATGCATGCTAAGAATAAAAACTATGTCTTTTTAAAATTTGCCTATCGGGGCCGGCCTGTGGCTCACTCGCGAGAGTGTGGTGCTGATAACACCAAGGCCACGGGTTCGGATCCCATATAGGGATGGCCGGTTAGCTCACTGGGTGAGCGTGGTGCTGACAACACCAAGTCAAGGGTTAAGATCCCCTTACCGGTCATCTTTAAAAAAAAAAAAAAAAAAAAATTTGCCTATAGCCCATGTGGTTTTAGGTCCCAATATGGCTTTAGTCCTGCTCACTCCAACAGAAGGAGTAAATATTGTAGGCTAAGGCATGCAATGATAACTCTAGAGTCTGCCTTTCCTTAATATCCGTTCTCATCTGGATTACTGTAAATAGCCCTTGACTCCAGCCCCCTACTTCCAAAGTTGCTGCACACCATTCTTTTGAACTGTCTTCCATTCTGTGGCCAAAGTGATATTTCTAAAATACAAATCTGATGTCATACTCTTTCTTTCACAGTGGTTCCCCATTGCTTTCAGGATAAAGACCAGACTTTCTGGTGTGGCCAACAGGGACCTTGGTCACCACTTCCATTACAGCTCCAGCTTCTGCTCTCACCCTTTCAGCCACCCTGAAAAGACAGTGTTCCCTGTAGTGTTGCATGTGTTATGCCCTTTGCTAGGACCCTTCTTCCCATCCTCACCTACCTGACTTCCTACTCTTCCTTGAAAACTCCCTGCCTCCACCTTTTTTTTTATTGTGATAAAATATACATAACATAAAATATATTAACAATTTAAAATTTTTAATTTAATTTATTTATTTGTGTTTTTGGCAACTGTCCAGTATAGGGATGTGTTAACCATTAAGTGTACAGTTCAGTGGCATTTAAGTACATTCACATTGTTGTGCAACCGTCACCACCATCCATCCATCTCCAGAATATTTTCATCTTCCCAGACTGAAATACTCATTAAACAGTAACTCCCCAGCCCCTGGTAACCATCATTCTACTTCTCCTAGCTATAAATTTGTCTATTCTAGGTACCTCATGTAAGTGGAGCCCCACAATGTTTGTCCTTTTGTGCCTGGCTTATTTCACTTAGCATAATGTCCATGTTGTAGCATGTGTCAGAATTTCATTCTTTTTTAAAGGGTGAATAAAGGGCTGGTCCGTGGTTCACTTGGGAGAGTGCGGTGCTGATAACACCAAGGCCACGGGTTCGGATCCCCATATAGGGATGGCCGGTTGCTCACTTGGGAGAGCGTGGTGCTGCTGATAGCACCAAGTCAAGGGTTAAGATCCCCTTACCAGTCATCTTTTAAAAAATAAATAAATAAATAAAGGGTGAATAACATACCGTTGTATGTATACACTATATTTTGTTTATCCATTGATCCATCAGTGGACATTTGGATTGCTTTTATGTTTTGGCTCTGTGAATAATGCTGCTATGAACATGGGTATGTAAATATCTGTTCAAGTCCCTGCTTTCAATTCTTTTGGGTACTTATCCAGAGTGGAGGACCAGTTTGTTTTAAACAAAACATCTCAAAACTGTGGCCCCAACCCTCAGCCTCTTCCCTTACCCACCCAGTGCTCCAGGAGTGGTTCTAAGAACCTCTGTGGCTGGCTCTGGGGACCACCAGGAGAGAGTGAGAATGACTCAGCGAGAGCCTGTTCCCACAGTGCCAAGCCAGTATGGCTCCAGCGCTATCCAGCTTGCCTGGGGAGGTAGTGAGCTGCTTGTCACTGGCAGTGTGCAAGCAGCAGAGGATGGCTGGCTGCTCTCTGGTGATTCTTCATTGGAGAGAGATCAGATTTGTTACATGCCAAATAACCTTGCAACTTTAAGATCCTCAGAACCAGGGCTTCTTAAATTCTGAGTTCCCCATTCTGAGAACCAGGGTTGGTGCTAAGATTCAGCCGCTGTCAGTGTTCTGGGGCTTTTCCATTGCTGCCTTTCCCCTGAGTGCATTTGGAGGAAAAGGGGGGTCCTTCTTGGCTTTTCATATTGAGTCATAATCATTAGTCCATGTTGCTCTGCAGCCTAGTGACTTTCATCTTACTGCTTGCATAGCATCCTGTGGAGTGAAGGACCACCTCTGTCCCCAGGTGTTGGATATTTAGGTTATTTGCAGTTTCTTGAGATTCTAATAAGTTCATAAAACCCAAAGCTTTATGTATATTTTAGTTTTTTCCTTATTTAAAATCTTTGGGCTGGCTGGTTTGCTCGTTTGGTTAGAGTACAGTGTTATAACACCAACGTCAAGGGTTTGGGGCCGGCCCGTGGCTCACTCGGGAGAGTGCGGTGCTGATAACACCAAAGCCCCGGGTTCGGATCCCATATAGGGATGGCCGGTTAGCTCGCTGGCTGAGTGTGGTGCTGACAACACCAAGTCAAGGGTTAAGATCCCCTTACCAGTCATCTTTAAAAAAAAAAAAGAAAGGGTTTGGATCCCCATACTGGCCAGCTGCCAAAGAAATAAAAAAGGAAGTAAAATCTTTATTTTTTTATATTTATAAAATCAATTTAATTGGGATAATAATTTATATACAATTAAGTGTACCCAAGTTAAGTGTTACCTACACAGTTGCCCCATTTAGCAGAGAAATTTCTGTTATGGAGAAAGAACCATGATGTGCTGATGGGCATGTAGTAATTTTCACTTTTCCCCTATTATTTGCATATTATGAATGGTGCCATGATGAACTTCCATGTGTTTGTGTATATGCACATGTGTCTGCCCTTACTCCCAGGGACTGGTATGTCTGTAGGAAGAGGTTCTTGTAGGAGCCATTCCAGAGGTGCGGTGAGTGAATCTTTCCAAGGATGCTCTGGAAGCAGCTTGAGCTACTGTGTGTTTTTCTCTCCCTAATCTGGCCTCTCTTGCTGCTGATCAGGCCCTTAGAAATTCTGAGATTTCAGGTATTAGGAACACCTGGATTTTGATCTCTAGGAACCAGCATGAACTGAAAAGGCCAAGCTCCCTGAAAGCGTGGAAGCTTTTCTTGTGTCTCAGATGTTTCAAATGTAAATGGTAACAAGCTTGAGTCAGGGCCTGGCCCGGCACTTGGGCACCTGGTTCCTGAGATCAGTCAGTACCTATTGGCCTCCCTTGGTTTTGTCTGGCCTTGGAGGGATTGTTTTCATCACTGGGGTATTTTGTAATTAAATGAAACTACCACCAATGAGTTAGTGAGCTGGGGAATAGTGTAGCTCTGTGGACAGAGCCTGGTCCTTGGTGCATGCAGATCTGGGTTTGAATCCTAGCTCCTCAGCTTACTTGCTGTGTGACCTTGGTCATGTTATCTGAGTCTGTTTTCCCACTTGAAAATGTGAGGTTGCAACACACTTCACAGTGTCTGTCACTGAGGCTTAATGTAGATAAAGTGCTTGCCACAGTGCTTGGGACTGAGTAACCCCTCATAATAGTAGCTGTCACTTTTATTACTGGAATCTAGTGCAGTTATTAACTTGCTGTGTGACCTCTGGCAAGTTTCTTAACCTCTCTGCTCTCAATTTCCACATCTGTAAAATGGGACTAGTAACCTGCTCTCTCTGATAACCAGTATGCTCTCCATGGGCTACAAAACACTTTTCTGGCTTTTCCTTATTCCTTCTCCCAACAATGGCCATGGATAGGAGGCAGGGCTTGGGGTGGCAGCTGCAAGAGGTAACTAGAAGTTGCTGGATGGGTAGAAGGGTATGATTTGGACCATGAGGAATAATTTCATTCCCCAAGCATTTCATTTAGTATCTGTATTGTATTTGGTTTTGTGGGTGAGAGAGAAATGGATAACAAAGAGCATTTCCAGGGTCACTGCCAGTCTGGGGGAAAAGTATGGGGGAGACAGGAAGGCAGCTACATTCCAAGTAGAGTGTGTTGTATACCTTATGTCCAGTCTAGAAAGAAGGGTGCGGGGTCTCGGAGGAGCCAGGAGCCCCTTCCAGCCTGCTCTTCCAAAGCTGATCTTTCTTTTTTTGGGGGGGGGGGGGGGCGGGGGGGGCGCCGGGCCCCCGCCCCGCCGGGTCTCCCGAGGGGTTTTTTTTTTTTTTTGGGGGGGGGGGGGGGCGGGGGGGGCGCCGGGCCCCCGCCCCGCCGGGTCTCCCGAGGGGTTTTTTTTTTTTTTTGGGGGGGGGGGGGGGTGGCTGGCCGGTATTAGAATCTGAACTCTTGACCTTGGTGTTGCAACACTGTGCTCTGACTGAGCTAACCGGCCAGACCCACCTGATTTTTCAATGTGAGTTTCTTCCTGTCCCTCCTCAAGTGGATGCCCACTGCTCTTAGGATGAAAACCAGGATCCTGTATCTAGCTGCCCAGGCCCTATGTGGTCTGGCCCTGCTAGCCTTTGTGACCCCACCGCTTTACTGCTCACCGCCTGCTCAGGAAGCTTTGGCCACAGTTCCTGCTGCCCCAGAGCCGCCTCTGTCTGGAACACTCTTCCTCCCCCTTGGTCTGGCAGTGCCTCCACATCCTTCAGCTCTCAGCTTAAATGTCACTTCTTGAAGGAGGCTTCCCTGACCTGCCACCCCCCCAATTGAAACTAGGTCCCATTAGCACTCTCATGGAAGTGAGTACGTGTTCTTACACTTACCGAGATGTGTGTGATTATTTGTTCAGTGTCTTTCCCGCCCACGGAAGCTGCAGGAGGGCGGGGCCTGTTTCTCTTGCTCCCCAGGCTCTTAAATATCTGGGTGAGGAGTTGGGGCTGTCTGATAAACAGTTGTACCTGGATGTGGAGCCTGTTTCCTCAAAGGCTGTGAGTCTCCTTTTCAGGGCACCAGCTGTGAATGGTGTGGCATCCCCAGCCCCTAAATGACTTGGGGAAGAGGGACAGCCTGACAGCAGCTTAGGCAGAGGACCCGGGCCAGGGAAGGGATTAGATGGCCACCTGCTGTCCAAAATGGGTACAGCCCCAGAGTGGAAATAGCCACTCACCATTCTTTACTCCATTCATTCACCAGATGTTTACTACGTGCTTGCTGGTTTTTGAGGATTTAACATGGGTCTGGTACTTTGCCAAACATTTTTTTATTCAACAGATAGTCCTAAGTTCCTACAACGTGCCAAATACTGTTCTAGTTTCTGGGAATACCACAGTGAACAAAACAGACAAAAATCCACACCCCGCTATAAAGGGAAGGCAGATAAACATAGATGAAATAGAAAGCCTATCAGATTATGGTAAGTCCTGTGGAGAAAAACTAAGTGGGCATGGGGAAAGGGAGTCAGTTTAATAGAAGTTTAACATTTTTATTTTGTTCTCACAACTGCTGCGTGAGGAGTAGGTACTGTTATGATTTCTGTTTTATATTAGAAGGGGAAACTGAGGTTCAGAGAGGTTGAGCAAGCTGTATAAGGTCACATAGGTGATCAGTGACAGAGCTGGCCTTCCGATTTTTTTTTTTACTTTCTCCCTCCCTGAAATAAGAAACAGTGTGACTCCAGCTTCCTCTCTCCAAAGCCACAGACAGATCCAGGTTTAAATCTAGGTTCTGTTGCTTACTGGCTGGGTAGCTCTATGTGACCCAGCCTCTTCCAGACTTGGTTTATAGGATGACAGCTGGGCAAGAGTATGCTCTTGCCTGCTCAGCACAGATTTGGAGGCATTGGATGGGCAGGTAGTGGTGCTGCGTGCATGGGTGGGGCAGGGAAGAGGCAGAAAGAACAGCACCCACACCTTGCCCTCCTGCAGGCGTCCTGCCTCTGCGGCTCTGCCCCCTGCATCCTGTGCAGCTGCTGCCCCTCCAGCCGCAACTCCACCGTGAGCCGCCTCATCTTCACGGTCTTCCTCTTCCTGGGGGTGCTGGTGTGCATCATCATGCTGAGCCCTGGCGTGGAGAGTCAGCTCTACAAGGTAAGCGGCCCCAGGGAGAGTGGGGTGGGGGTGGAAGCCATCTGCGGGGCCTGGTCTCTATAGTGAGGGTTCTCAGCTGCTCCTGGCTAGAGGGCCCAGGCTTGGGGTCACAGCTCATCAAGAAGAGGTGGCAGGGATGTTTGGAAACACCAATGATCTGAGGTTGGAAACGGTGGTGGCTGGGGGCATCTCTTCATGTAGGGAGGAGGGCTTGAACCTCATGCAGGGTTTCATGTTTCTCATAAGCCATGGTCCCCTTAGAAAATCTTATTAATCGTTATTGCCCCTCTAGACACTGGTGATGCCCAGGGATGCTCTTCTCCTCTTTAATGCTCAGGCCCAGTTTGGGGCTTCTAACTCTTCCCTTCCTCTCAGTGTTTCATAGTCTGGCACAGATTCAGGGGACATTTAGTCAGAGGTTCTCACATTTTAGTGTGTATAAAGGTATGAACTGCTGGGGAGTTTGTACAAATGCAAATTTTTAGACCCCATCTTAGAGGCTCTATTTTATAGGAGGGGCCTGGGAATCTCTTTTCCCCGAGCATCGCAGGTGGTTCTGATGCAGGTGGTGGGTGGAGAACACTTCAGGAAACCCTCTGTCAGGCTGCAACGCTTTACTGAGGCCCTGGGGATGGGAACAGGGAAGTCAACACTTAGTTACAAGGTGTGACTGGACCCAGAGGCGGTGCAAAAGGAGGTGGAGGAGGCAATGGGGATGGAGATGCCTGGCCCAGCTCCTGCTGGGAGAGCCTCCTTCCCTGCTGTGGCCTTGGCAGAGGGAGCCACTGGACTTCTGTGTGGGGTGGGGCCCTCCAGCTGCTCTTTCTGTCTCCACAGCTGCCCTGGGTGTGTGAGGAGGGGGCCGGGACTCCCGTGGTCCTGCAGGGCTACATCGACTGTGGCTCCGTGCTTGGCCACCGTGCTGTCTACCGCATGTGTTTCGCCATGGCGGCTTTTTTCTTCCTTTTCTCCCTGCTCATGATCTGCGTGCGGAGCAGCCAGGACCCCCGGGCTGCCATCCAGAACGGGTGAGGGAGGGGCCCCCGCCTACCCCCTGGGACCCTCCCCCAGCGGTTTTCCCTCTCCTCGTCCTGTCTCCAGGGATCTCCAGACCCTACCCTGAGACTCAGGAGCCAACGAAGCTAGGGGGGCACAGCACGGACATCAACTCATTTAGTTATGCCCATTTCTCAGATGAGGAAAGAAGGCTCAGAAAGGGCAACCACAAGCCTAAGGCCACACAGCACTTTGGTGACACAGTTGGGGCTAGAACCTGGGTGATCACCCTCACCCCTGGTTTGTTCTTCCTTCTGTCCCTCGGGGTTTTTCCTGGGTCAAGGACAGACTTTCTGTGCCCATCAGACCATTAGGAAGTCCATCTTCACCTCTCCCAGTATCTACTCTTTGGGGTGGGTGTTCTGGGGCCAGGCCTGGTCTGGCTTCTGGTGTTCCTGCCCCCACTCAGCTTCCTTGTTCATTCCCTCCACCCCCACCATAGGTTTTGGTTCTTTAAGTTCCTGGTCCTCGTGGGCATCACCGTGGGTGCCTTCTACATCCCTGACGGCTCCTTCTCTGACAGTAGGCGGGCTTGAGGGGAGGGGTGGGGGCTGCTGGAGAGGGAGGCGGGGCCTCAGGTCAGAGGAGCATGGTGGGGGCTACTCTTTGCCCTGGCACACAGACCCGGGCTGCTGGCTGCGTCCTTGCCCCCCACCCATGCTTTGGGCAACTCAAGGGATGGGGGGACCTTCCTCGCCCCAACCCATACCCTGCCCCACTCTGTGTGCATCTCTGTGCACGGGTTGGGGTTCCCTCAGGGCAGGGACTCTGCCTCTTCTCAGTGTCCCCAGTGCAGGGGGCATGAATGATTATTGAATGAATAGATGTATGCGAGCGGGAGACAATGGGCTGCGTGCCTGCCCCGGGAATCCTGGGAGCTGCTGCCCCCACGCCAACCCTCCTCGCCTCACTCCCCTCTCCCCACCCAGTCTGGTTCTACTTTGGCGTTGTGGGCTCCTTCCTCTTTATCCTCATCCAGCTGATACTGCTCATTGACTTTGCACACTCCTGGAACCAGCGGTGGCTGGGCAAGGCCGAGGAGTGCGACTCCCGCGCTTGGTATGCAGGTCAGTGCCACTGGCCTTTGTGTAGGGGCCCACACCCAACAGGGCCAGGGCTACCCAAGGAATCAGCGGGTGCGTGAGGCTCGATGAAAGCCTGGACGGCAGCTCGAGCAGCCCCTGCTGTAGGGCAGGAGTTCAACCAGCCAAGGCAGATGGGGGGTAGATGAGGGAGGAGGCAGCTGATCGGGGGCAACTTTGGGGGCACCAGAGGAGAGCTGCTTTGGGAAGGCCTTGGAAGGGTTTAGTTGGGTGATTCCTGCAGGATGAGCCATGCACAGCTGGCAAAATGTAAGGGCCTTTTGGTGGGGCCCAGACTAAATTTCAGGTGACACCTGGTCATTGGAACCCTAGAGGCAGAATAAGTCCCTGCTCAAGTCTTTCAGTTCTTCTGAATGAATCAAGAAGAAAGGCCCACCTATGTGCTGGTTTGGTTTCACACTTCCATAATCGTGCCAGTTTCTCTGGGACAGAGAGAGCAGGTCTTCAGCAGACTACTGTATACTAGTTCAATGTTGACAAGACTATTTTGTATTCACTGTCTTTGTTGTTACGGTTACCTTATTATAGCAAATAAATCCTTTCAGTTCAGGATGGGGCAATAACTCACAAAGGTGGTGCTGATGTCTCAGATGAGGAAACTGGGTGGGACGGGGGCCGCCTGACAAGTCCCCTCTCAGGAGTGGGGTCCCTGTGCCTCCTGCCTCCTGACCCCTGCCTGCCACTCCCCCTGCCAGGCCTCTTCTTCTTCACCTTTCTCTTCTACTCGCTGTCGATTGCGGCCGTGGCACTGATGTTCATCTACTACACCCAGCCCAATGCCTGCTACGAGGGCAAGGTCTTCATTGGCCTCAACCTCACCCTCTGTGTCTGCGTCTCCATCACCGCCATCCTACCCAAGGTCCAGGTGAGCCTGCCTGTCTCTCCCTGGCCTGAGGCCCTACCCCTTGGTGGGTGGGATTTCTTGTAGGAACCTGAGTACCCGGGCAGGGGCTGTCAGTCACAGAGGCTTGGGTAACTGCGTGGGCTTCCAATTCAGCCTCCTGAGGTTAGTGTCTTGGCTCTCACATCTGCATACTGGGTGTCTTTGGGAAAGTGCCTTAATCTCTCTCTGCCTTTCCCATCAAATGTAAAATGGAGATAATAAGACCTACTATTTGGAGTTATTCTTAGGATTGAGATCCTATTCATGAACACTTAGAGCAATTCCTGGCATGTAGATATCAATCAGACATTAGCTATTGTTATTGTTATTGTTGTCATTTTGTTGTTGCTTTGCCCCCCATGGATTTGTCACCCCACTTCCCCTGGGTATGGAGCCACAAAGGATTACTCAAAGCCCATCTCTTCTTTTTTTTTTTCCTTTTTGTCTTTTTTCATGACCGGCAACGGGATCGCAACCCTCGGTGTTGGCCCCTGCACCTCGCTCAGCCAATGAGCGGGAACCGGTCTGTATGTGGGATCCGAACCCTCGGCGGGAGCGCCACCACACTTCCCAAGCGGCGCACTGTAGCAGTGCGCCACCGGGCCGGCCCCAAAGCCCATCTCTTCTGAGCAGTGAGAAGCCCCAAAGTGGTTAACTTTCCCAGAACCCTCAAGCGAGAGGCATTCCTTCCTTGGGAAATTAACCCCGAATTGGGGTTCTCTTCCTGCATTTATTTTTCAGACCAGGAAGTTACAGGAAGAAAACATAGGTGGGGTTATAGTTTAACAATGTAGGCTGGTAACTTTCAGTGAAACAAGCCAGATGACATTCCAGTAAGGCAATTAATTGATCCACCAACAAAAGCTTGATCTTAGCAAACATTCCTTTCTTACAGCAATTTCTCAGTATCTTTACATATCAATCATTAACTAGTCTGTCCTTGAGCCAGCAACCTTACTGTGCCACAAATCTTTATCTTACACCAGAGACTTATAGCCTGAGGAAAATTTCCAGTCCTCCGCAAGGTCAATATTTGAAACTGCAAGGCTTTGGAAAACCAGGCCCTGTGAAGTACATTTGCTTTATGAATCCTCTACATTTTGTTTTTATGCAAATCAGGAAAACATTAGGAAGAGTTACTGAGTGACCATTCTAGATACCTCAAAAAGTGGTGTTGATTTAGATCCCTGTACTGGCCCGCAGCCAAAAAAAAGTGATGTTATTAGAAGATGCAATGCCGGGCTGGCCCGTGGCTCACTTGGGAGAGTGCGGTGCTGATAACACCAAGGCCCCGGGTTTGGATCCCATATAGGGATGGCCGGTTCGCTCACTGGTTGAGCGTGGTGCTGACAACACCAACGCAAGGGTTAAGATCCCCTTACCGGTCATCTTTAAAAAAAAAAGAAGATGCAATGCCAGTTTCCAGTGCCAGATCATCTGAGATAATGGGTGGGGGCTCCCAAAGTAATAATTTGTTCTTAAGGACCACCTTGTGAATCCAGTAGCACTTCACAGTTTGGGATTTCAGCACACCAGGGGTTTCAAAGGTAGCTAAGGTTGTTTGGAGAGGTCTTTAGCAGAAAGGCAAAGATCCTCCCTTCTGGTCAGAGTTTCCATTAGCCGGAGAGGGTGATGCTTCTGTCCCAGATCACAAAGCTATCAGTGTTTATTCAGCAAATACCTCTTGAGCACCTGCTGTGTACCAGGCCCTCTTTCAGATGTTGGGGATATAGCTGTGAGGAAGAGGAAGGGAAGTAATAGAAGAAATAATAACAATAGCTAACAGTTAATGGTATCTGTCATGTCATTTGGTCCTTACACCATCATTATCCCCACTTTACAGACGAAGAGATGGAGGCTTACATAAATAAAGAGACTTAGCCAAGGTCACACAGTTAGTAAGTAGTGGAGCTGGGATTTGAACCCAGGGAGGCTGGCTCCAGAACCTGTGCTCTTAATCACAGAGTTTAGATTCATATTCTCAAGTGCATTTGTGGTAAGAGGTGGGGAAGGACAAGTAATAGGAGACGAGGCCAAATAAGGTAAGTTTGGATAGTAAGTGCTAGTAGAAAATAAGAGAGGGTATGGCTAAAAGGGAGGTGGGCTGGCAGGAGCATGGGTTGCTGTAGTCAGGGTTCTCAGGGCCTCACTGGGGTCCTGTTTGAATAGTAAAGAGGGGTTGCCTGTGCAGAGCAACCGGAAGGAACGTGTCAGGGAGCAAACAGAGCAAGAGCACAGGCCCTGAGGTGGGAGAGGGCTTGGCAGGTTCTAGGACAGAAAGGAGGCCGCCATGGCTGGAGTGTAGTCAGCAGGCAATGGATCAGGTGGAGAGGAAGGAGGGCAAACCAGGGAGGCTTTAATCCAGAGGGTGATGAGATGCTGCTCTTGAAGGGGTTTTTAGCAGGGGGAGGAAGTCAGGTAATTTGAGGGGTGTTAGGAGAAAATTAGAACTCCACCTTGGGTAGTGAAGTGGGTGGTGGGTAACCTGGTTGGAATGTTTTCCCAAAGTGGTGTGGAGTGGGATGTCCTTAGGGTGGGTGGGGGTTTCTGAGGCCCCCTGGTTTGTGGAAGTGGTGCATCCCCGGGTCTGGCAGGGGTCTTACCTATGAATGGCTCTTGCCAGGATGCCCAGCCCAATTCGGGTCTGCTGCAGGCCTCAGTCATCACGCTCTACACCATGTTTGTCACCTGGTTGGCCCTCTCCAATGTCCCTGGTGAGTATAGGCCCGGGCTCAAGGAGGTCTGGCTTCATTCCTGGGCCAGCAGTGGCCTGCCGAGGGGCTGGGGACCCTCACAGGTGACAGGGACATCCCAGCTCCAGCCTATTCCAAGACTCAGTCCTCCAGGGAGGTGGGAGGGTCCCACCAGCTCATGGAGTTGTTGTTCTGTCATTTTGTCTGCGAAGTGCTCTCTGTTTCTGGGACTTGGATGGTTGGTTGTGTATGTGTCTGTCCATTTGGGTTGGCTCTCTGCCCAGCCTCAGGGCTACCTGCTACCCAGACCTGATCTACATGGGCTAAGGATGACTGTGCTCCCATTCCCAGACCAGAAGTGCAACCCCCACCTGCTGACCCACCTTGCCAATGAGACAGTCCTGGCAGGCTCCGAGGGCTATGAGACCCAGTGGTGGGATGCCCCCAGCATCGTGGGTCTTGTCATCTTCCTCCTGTGCACCCTCTTCATCAGGTATGGCAGGGCTGGTCTCTGAGGAGGGATTGGGATTGGGGACCCAGAGCTGGAAGTGAGGGGAGGACATGGGAGCCAAGAAACCAAGCTGGAAGATGCCCTCAGCAAGCAGCCTTTGCAGCCCCTGCATTGTGCTGGTAGGGAAACTGAGTCCCTTAGAGGGCACAGCATGAGTGGGCAACAGAGGTAGGCTGGACTCTCCCTCCTGTACACTGGACTGCCTCATTCCCACTTTAGTCAGGTGTGGGAAGCTGTGGGGTCAGAGAAGGAGCTTGGGCTGAGGCCAGCGGGTCCAGGCTGTGTCATTCACCTGATGTGTGGCCTTGGGTAAGTGGCTTAACCTCTGTGAGCTTTAATTTTCTCCTCAATAAGAGGAGTATGATAACCTCCATGGTGGTGGAGGTGACAGTGACACCACAGTCTCCCCCGGGAGAGGGCAGCTACTGAATATCTCACAACATTTTTTTTTTTTTTTTTTTTTAATTTATTTTATTTTTTAAAAGATGACCGGTAAGGGGATCTTAATCCTTGGCCTGGTGTTGTCAGCACCACACTCTCCCGAGTGAGCCACAGGCCGGCCCATCACAACAGCTTTTTTTAAAGGGGCATTTTAGCAAGTGCTCCTCAGTGAGGACTCTGGAGCCAGACTGACTGTGTTTGAACCTGGCACTGCTGCTCACTAGCTGTGTAATCTTCGGCAAGTCATTTAATGCTCTGTGCCTCAGCTTCCTTGTCTGTAAAATAGGGGTAAAAATGGTACCTATTGTACCATCATTGGATCGTTGAAGGGTTATAGATCAGTTAATATGTATAAAACACTGCAAAAGGAACTTGGCAAGTGATAGGTGCCAAATAAATGTCTGATATTCTTGCATATAACTGAACATTGGCACAACTGGGTGGATGTGAGTGGCTATTTTCTAAGAGTCGCTAAGAGTGGTCATATTAGGGATATAGGCAGGGAACTGTCTATACTGAACCTGGCAGACTCTCCATTTACCTCCCATGGCCCAGCACTTCCCCGCTTTCCACATCTACCTTTTACTCTCCAGAGGGGACCTTGGTTCTGCTCCTTCTCCTCTGCATCCATCCCAGGTGAGAGCGGCACACCTGCCTCCAGGCCTCTTGGCTAGAACATTTTGAGTCTGTTTTAGTTTGTTTTGTTTTGGCCTTTTCCAAAACATTTTCTCCAAGTCAAGTCTGGGCAGTTCACAAGCATCTAGCTTCTTTGTCACCTCATTTGATTCCTTTTTCAATCTGGAAATGCCTGTATTACCTCTGTTTTACCAATGAGGAAACTGAGGATCAGGGAGGAGCAGCCTCTGGTCCGAGGCCATGAGCACACAGTGGTCGCAGTGGCTGCAGTGGCCAAGGAGGCTGAGCGCACTTCCTGCCCTGGTCCTCTGTCCCTCCCTATCCCCCCCCCCCCCCCCCCCCCCCCCCCCCCCCCCCCCCCCCCCCCCCCCCCCCCCCCCCCCCCCCCCCCCCCCCCCCCCCCCCCCCCCCCCCCCCCCCCCCCCCCCCCCCCCCCCCCCCCCCCCCCCCCCCCCCCCCCCCCCCCCCCCCCCCCCCCCCCCCCCCCCCCCCCCCCCCCCCCCCCCCCCCCCCCCCCCCCCCCCCCCCCCCCCCCCCCCCCCCCCCCCCCCCCCCCCCCCCCCCCCCCCCCCCCCCCCCCCCCCCCCCCCCCCCCCCCCCCCCCCCCCCCCCCCCCCCCCCCCCCCCCCCCCCCCCCCCCCCCCCCCCCCCCCCCCCCCCCCCCCCCCCCCCCCCCCCCCCCCCCCCCCCCCCCCCCCCCCGACTGGCACAGCGGTGCTTCCTGACGCTTCCCAGACTCACACCTCTCTGGCCTGTGGTCTTCAGGCAGCACTTCTGAGATCCCAGGGGTGCATATCTATTCTTAATACAGTTCTTAAAGCACAGATAGCAAAGAAGTGTGAGGGCCAGGACCACTGGTGGCTTTTGCCCCCAGCTCTGGATGGCCTGGCTCTGGATGGCCCAGCTCTGGACTCACATGGATTAGATTGGCACATTTTATTCCACTGAAGCTTAGCAAGCGGTGATTTCTCAATTTGATGGGGTTGGAATCCAGCTCTCCTTTTTTTTTTAGGAAAAAAATACAAGTTAGTTTTTCAAAATTGTACATGTCTCAAACTGTTACATTCTGTTAAAAACATCAAGACCTTATCATAGAAAAGCAATGACATATAATCATTACTACTATTGTTATTTTCTTTTTTTAGTGTAAACATAAAGGAAGGGGAGGCAATTGCTACAACTACTTACCGGAGACTAATAAAAGGAAAACAAAATAATAGCAAATGAGCGTTATTAATTATTAACATTATTAATGAATGTAGTACCTGGTATAGTGCTTTGCAGTATTAAGTACTCAATATATGCATATGGCAAATGAACAATCATAATAATAGCAACTGTTTATTTAGTTTATACTCTGTGCCAGGCACAGTGCTAGGGGCTTTACATCATTATTGCAATTAATCCTCCCAGACATCCTATAAGGGAGGTACTATTGTTCCTGATTTTACAGGAACAGAAGCTCAGAGAAGTTAAGTGTCTTGCTCAAGGTCACACAGGGAGCAGGGATAGAGTTGAGAGTCCAAACAGTTTGTTAACTCCTGGGCCCACGGCTGAATCACCAGGTCACTGACCTCTAAGGCTCTGGGACCATCTGTGTCCAGTACTATGATCAATGCCATGGCTATTCCTCTACCCACCTTGGTGATGCCGGCCCTGACCTCCCACCTTCCTCCATCCCCTGCAGCATGCGCTCCTCAGACCACCGGCAGGTGAACAGCTTAATGCAGACAGAGGAGTGCCCACCCATGCTGGAGGCCACGCAGCAACAGCAGGTCGCAGCCTGCGAGGGCCGAGTCTTTGACAATGAGCAGGATGGCGTCACCTACAGCTACTCCTTCTTCCACTTCTGCCTGGTGCTGGCCTCCCTGCACATCATGATGACGCTCACCAACTGGTACAGGTGCGTGCAGCCTGGCGGAGCATGGAAAGAGCCTGGGGCCTGGGTGCTTGTGCGACATGTCTCCCCTCTGGTCCTTCACTGGGTTTTCCTGATGCCAGCTGAAGACTTGGGGTGGGTGTTTGTTTAGGACTCTCCAGGGAGCCGCCCCTTCCCTGTCCCAGTTTCCCTGCCAGTGCCTTAGTCTGCTCAGCTCCTGGGGCCTTCCTTGTGTGACTGGAAGGTGGGGATCACTGCAGGTGGGGCAGGTCCTGTGCAGGGCAGACTGGTTTACAAATCAGGGGTGGATCATGGGGTTGGATTTGGGATTCATGGTTGGAAGGTTAGGATAAGGGTATGGAGGTCAGAATCAAAGTTATAGGGTCAAGAATAGGAGTCATGAGGTCTAGGAATTGGGGTCATACATAGTCACAAATTTGGTCATTTGGTGAAAATTGGGGTTAGAAAGCCATAAAGTCAAAATTGGAAAGGGCAAGGTCAAGGAGCTAAGATCAGGGTAATAAGGTCAGAGGCCTGGGCTGGGTTATAGAATCATAGGTCAGCATTAAGGTTAAAGATCAGGATACGGTAAGGAGCTCCAGCATCCCAAGTCTGGACTAGGAGTGAGGACACAAAATTAGGGTCACAAGGGTAGAGATCAGGAGTCAGGTCACAATTTCATGGTGTAGGACTGGAGTCAAGGTTGGAATTGAGGTCAGGGTCAGGTTGGTGGTACAAGGTCAAGAGCTATGTCTAGGATTACAAGGCCAAGTGTCAAAAGTGTCAGAGACAGAGACTAGAGTCATAGGTTAAGAGCCAGAGTTGGTCAGGGGTCACAACTGAGTCATAAGGTCAGGAGCCAGGACAGAAGTCACAAGGTTGGGGATCAGGCTCACGGGGAGGATGGTGTGTTCCAGACCTGGCGAGACCCTGAAGATGATCAGCACGTGGACTGCCGTGTGGGTGAAGATCTGTGCCAGCTGGGCAGGGCTGCTCCTCTACCTGTGGACCCTGGTTGCCCCCCTCCTCCTGCCCAACCGCGACTTCAGCTGATGCAACCCTCTGCAGCCTGCCCACCTGGTGCCTGGCTGCTCAGTGACAGCCATCCCCCTCCCCAGCCAGCCAGCCAGGCCGAGCCCGCAGCCTGCCCCACCTCCAGGACTTGCCCCTGAGCTGGGCCAAGTGCCTTTCGGGTCTGTTCTTAGTGCCTTCAGGCTCTGAGGAACCTCAGGCTCACGCCTGAGCCCCACCCTCTTGTTACCCCCAGACTTCGGAGGAGGAGCTGTCTTTTCCTTCCCTATGTCCCTGGCCACCCATTCTCGTCCCCTTGGGAAAAAGGGACTCCTTTGTTATGCTCCCCAGGAGAGTGGAGCTGAAGGAAAGAGCTGCTCAGAGCTGTGCAGAGAGCCAGGAGTGCTCACTAGGACGGGGTGTGGGCACTGAGGCCTGGATATTCCTGACCACCTCCCCAGGACACCCCCACCCCCTTCCTGGACTCTGTGCCTTACTGAGCCTTTAGGACTCTGCCCAATAAACAAGTCAGTGTGTGTACCTTCTCATGTTCTGTGCCCCCACACTCCGTGCAGGGCCCCATCACATCCAGGGCAATGTGGGGTTTGAGAATGGAATTTACAGCTAAGGAGGCTGGGGCCAGACCACCAGGGTCCTTGAAGGCCAGACAGAGGGCCCTGGGCTCTGTCCTTTGGGTCACGGAGAGCTAGGGGCCTGGGGGGCGGGGAAGACCAGAGAAGAAGGAGGGACAGACCAGGGCTTTGGGAAAAGGGAGCCTGGAGGCAGTGGGACCGCTGCTCTGCTGTCCACATGAGGGCAGTAAGGCCAGAGTCAGGGTGGGGAGGAGGGGGTGGTGCCAGGTGGCCAAGAGGGCTGTCCTCAGGGCCCCTCTCCAGTGGACTCTGCTGAGGAGCTTGTCACCACCCTGCCCTTCTTCCTGCAGTTGTCCTCAGTACCTGCCTTGGGCCAGGTGCGATGGAGAATACAGAGAGGAATCCAACCATCCAAATGATCCCTGGGTCTCAGGGTGATGTGGAGCAGAGCATGTGCTCTGGAGCCCAGCCTGGCCCAAATCCGGCTGTACAATGGAAGCTGTGGGGCTCTTGTGGGGCTCCAGGTGGGTCTTCCCCTCTCTGGGCCCTGGTTCATCATTCATCAAATGGTGACAAGGCCACCCACTCCCAGGCTCTTGTGAGGATCAGATGTGTCTTGCACAGCAGGTGCTCAGCAAATAATGTCAGTTCCCATCTCTGAAAGTCACATCACATGATGTGAGGGGATGGACAGGCTCCTGGCCAGGACCCCAGAACCTGCTCTTGCTGTTGTGGTGACTGACTGCAGGCCATTCACCCCTTCCGTTTGTGGGTATAACAAATAGGTATTGACAAGATGGATTTGTGGGATGCTGGGGACACAACTTACTTCCAAAGTGATCCCAGATTGTGGGGGTGACTGCACTGATGGAGGCAGCACAGGGACCTGTGGGGCCACTGAGGAGGCCCCCGACACAGCCGGCAGACAGGACAGACATCCTGTAGAATGAGTAGGAGTCATCCAGGCCAAGAGGAGCAACAATGCCTAAGACAGAGGGGACGGCACGGGAGCGCAAGGGTGCAGGGTTCAAGGACTGAGGAGTGTGAGGTGGCTGGGTGCAGGGAGTGTGTGGAGGGTGGAGGTAAGCGTGAGCTTGGATGGGCTGGGCCCCAGTCACACAGCCCCTTGAGGGACATGCAAGGAGACCTGACATAATCCTGCAGGCAGAGGGGAGCCATGGAGGGTTTTCCAGGTTGAGTTTCCCAGCAGCCTGGCGGGATGGGGCTTTGAATAGAAAGAAAGTTGATATAAAGCAAATGAACAGATGGTCGGTTTCTTGTACATCTGTGAATTGAGCTTCACACCCACTTTAAAATAATTTTAGATATAATGCATGTTTATGGTTTAAAAAAACACAATTAAACAGTATAGGAGTGTAGGAGTGGAAAACCATTTATCTACTTCATTTTTTTCCCAAGCAGCATAGGATTCTGTTGAATGGATGCTCTACAATTTATTTAACTAGTGCCCAAGTGATGGGCATCTGTGTTATTTTCAGTTTTAGTTACTGGCCGCTGTGATAATTCTGACGGCTTGCTGGGTTGCAGGAGGAACATGGGCTCCAGAGGCAGCATCCTTTAGACCTCATCTCAGCTTTGCCCCCTCACTGCTGTGGCCTCTCTGGGTCTTGGTTTCCCCATCTGCAGAATGGGGATTGCAGTAGTCACCAGGGTTAGTGAGAGCACAATCTGTAAAGGGCCTGGCACCGTGCTGGGCACAGAGTGTGTGGTTCCTTCTTTTCTCTGGCTATCAGTCCTCGGGGATTGAGACAGAAGACTAGGCTGACAGACAAGGTCACCTTAGCATTTTCTATACCTATAGGGATATGTACCTTTTGCCCCTCTGGAGGTGACTGTAAATAACAGGTGGCAGGAGATGGGAAGAAAAATGATAACAGGAGCCAATGTTTATGGAAGAGTCCCTGTGTGCCAATCCTGGAGCAAGGAGCTTTAATCCCTATAACAAGCCTGCTTGTGCACAGAGAAAGAAATTCACAGAAGAGGAAGATGGAGACCCTGGCCGCCAGTCTGAATTTGCCTCCCATTTCTCTTCATGTACTCTGTATTTCTCTGCATAGCCTTTATTATTGGCTGTAATTACGTATTTGCGTGATTATCAGTGTATTTATTGTCTGACTCCCCCTAACGTCATTGAGAGTGAGAACTTCTTCTTGTTGTTTATAGTTTCCCTGGTGTCTAGAACAGAGCCTGATAAAGAGAAGGCACTCAATAAAAGTCAGGTTAGTTGACTGACTGAATGACCATCTGAATGAACTTTAGTTGATTCTGGAGCAGCCATGGGAAAGCTCAGGGTGGGGAGATGGAGAATTTATTTACTTATTTATTTTTAATTTATTTTTTTATTGAATCAAAATTGATTATACATATTTTTTGGGTTCAGCATCGAGATATGTTGATCAAATCAATATTACCAGCATATATATATTGTTACAAATCGTAATTATTCTTTATGCCCCTTGTCCAATCTCTCCCCATCCCCCTCTCCCTCCCCCTTCTCCCTTCTAATTACCCTAGATTTCTTCTCTCCTTCTGAAAGAATAATGGTTACTCTGTTGATTTGTTGCCTAGATTATCTGTCCAATGCTGAGAGGTGCAATCAGGTCCCCCAATATAATCATAGAGCAGATGCTTCTTTCACTCTGAAATGGGCTTTGTGGAGAGAGACATTCTCTTCTTTTCTTTATCTCTGCTGGTCACTCTCCTTGTGTCAATGCACTCCAGTGGCTGGTGGACAATCTGCGTTGGTGGCTGTGGCATCTGAGGTGGTTATTGTGGTGGCTTGCAGCTGAGGTGGTTATTGTGGTGGCTGTGGTGGGCCACCCACATGGAGGCGATGTTTTTGGCATGCTCCTTGGTGCTGGCTGTGTTCCTGGCTGTAGGGTGTGTCTGGCCTCAGGTCCCCAAGTGGGCCCTGAGGTGCTGGCGCAGTATGCCTGGTTGTGGGAGGGGTGTCCAGTCCCCGGATCCACGCCTCGGGTCACTGGGTGGGCCCTGAGGCACTGGCCCGGTGTGCCTGGTTGTAGGAGGGGGGTCCGCTCACCTTCTCCATGCTTCAGGTCACTGAGCGGGGCCCAAGGTGCTGGTGTGATGTGCCTGTTGTGGGAAGGGGGTCCAGTCCCCAGATCCATGCCTCAGGTCCCCAGGTGGACCCTGAGGTGTTGGCATGGTGTGCCTGGTTGTGGGAGTGGGGTCCGGTCCCTGGCTCCAAGCCTCCAGTTCCCAGGCAGGCCCCAAGGCACTGAGGGTATGCCTGGGCCAGAACTAATTTTTTGTCTTTTGCTTACTTCTTTTTTTTTCTTTTTTCCTTTTTGTCTTTTTTCGTGTCCAGCAACGGATCGCAACCCTCAGTGTTGCTCCCACACCTCGCTCAGCCAGTGAGCGGGAACTGGTCTGTATGTGGGATCCAAACCCTAGGCGGGAGCGCCACCGTGCTCCCAAGTGGTGCACTGTAGCAGTGCGCCACCGGGCCGGCCCTTTTACTTACTTCTAAAACAGGAAACTTCCTGTGGGAATCAGTACTTGAGCTGTGTGGTTGAGATAACTTGCTGCTTTGCTGCTGTTACCCTAGGGAAGGCTTTTTGTGCGGCTCAGGGTTTAATGATTGACCTTATAGGTACTTCCGGCTCTCCAGAGACCCGGTGGATCTGGGTTGTGTAGCAACTCTAATCTGGGCCTTAATTTTTTCATCAAACTGCACCCCATGCAATTCTGCATTTCCGACCAGTCTCCTCTGAGTGGTCCTGTGCTGATTGGGGGGCGGATCAGCTGTCCTTGCTGTGTCCCAGTGTTCTCCTGGTGGGCCTGTCTCCCCCACCACCCGTGCTCCAAACACTTCCCATGGTATGGGCCCTGTGCCAGTCCCTTGCAATGACTCACCAGCCTCTGAGTGGCTCCCTTTTTTCAGTTGTTCTCGCTCCTCGCTCCTGCTTGGGTCCACAGGAACCCTATTAGTGGTCTTGCTGTCCTGGGGACCGCTAAGGCCCTCTTCTCCCCTGCCGCCTCCAAGTAACTCCATCTAAAGGGCACAGCTGCAGCTTCTTTTGGCTCCTGCTCTGTGCACTCAGCAGCTCCAGCATTAAAGTGGCCGTGGCCCAAAACACTCAGAGCAGTTTTTTCTTTCTCTCATTATGGTTTCTCCCACCTTCATGAACTCCGTAGGTCTTTCCTCCTCTTCCCCTGAGCTCCAGTGGCCCCAGCTTGGCTGATGTTACATTTTTATAGTTGTAAATTGGTTGATTTGTGGGAGAGAGTGATGCTGGGAACCGTCTATTCTGCCATCTTGACCAGAACTCAGGATGGAGAGTTTAAAGTGGAGTAGGAGGGGCAGGAGCCTTGAGCTGGGGTTGAGAGGCCTGAGTTCTGTTGCTGAGGTGTGCAGGGTTAGAGGAAAATTCCGAGGAATGACTGAAGCTGAGACCCACAAAATAGGTGACAGCCAGGAGGGGCAAAGGGCATGGGGAGAGTGGTGGGTCAGGGACCAGCACGGCTGTCATGGAGCTGAGGAGATGGCCTGTGGTGAGGGGTGAAGCAGCAGATGTGCAAAGGGCCAGACAGTGTAGTTCAGAGGGTATGGGGAGACATGGAAGCATGTCTGGTTGGGCTCTCGCTGTGTTTAAAAGAAGAACCTCAACAAAGATTGTGAGCCTGGTTATGGAGCACATTCCACACCTTTCTCAGTTCCCCCTGCTCCTCCTCAATGGCCACCTGCTCCTTCATTGTTTAGGTGACCTCCCTGGCTCAGGAAGACATTTGCATTTGCAAACCCTGATGCAGAGCCAATAAGCTGTGATGGGCTGTTGGGAGTGATGGAGAGATGTCACAAGGCACTAGGGAGACCTGAGCCCCACCCACCCTCCTCTGAAAAGCCTCAGGGGCTGCAGGCTTGACATGCCTCAGACTCTCTCTGTTTGGTTCCCCAAGACATCCCAGGCT